TGGGACGCGCTACAATCCAGGGTCAGCGGTGGTTCGTTAGCTGGTTGGTGGCAACTTGCCTGTTCTATCGTGGAGAAGCGCCATCTCAGCACTTGAACAATTCCCATCATGCAGTACCACATGGTAGTCCGGGCCGCTGGGACCGAGTGTGCGAAAAGATTCCGTCTCATTATCTTCCCAGCTTACCAGAATGCCCCGGGGGTATGGCTTCAGTTTGATGCTGTGCGGCAGGTATCGCAGTCGCCGCCCAATCTGCCGCATGAATTTCATTTCTGCGGGTCGAGCTATCGGATGTGCCTTGAACATGGATGCGATCGATTGAACCAAAAGTTCTTCCACCACATGGCAACAAAAAAACGGGGCGTTGGTATCGGCAAGGTTGGTTGGAGACCAAGGCCGGCAAAATGACCGGTGGTGCATACAAGCAAAGTCCAACCATCGCCAATGTATCTTGAGCGTACCCTGTCCCTTGTCAAAGTGTACGTCGACTTTGCCGGTCGAGCCTTGGACGTAGACTACCTGAATATGGTCGGTGAACCTCAGCAGAGCGAAGCAGGCTCGCAGCGATCGATCCACGGCTCTCGCAAATGTGGTCTCTGGAAAGCTGCAGGGCTTTGCCTCCTTGAACCGGTGCTGCTGCTGCTCCTCCTCGACGGTCCAGATGGGGCAGTGGGTACGCAGCATCTGCCACAGCGAGTCGGGCAGGCGCGTTAGGCGCTTGCCAAGGCTATCACGGATGGTGTTCGTGCTCTGTCTGCATCAGCTATCAAAATCTGACACGGTGTGAACCGCAAGAAGATACCTGGTCATTGCTTCTCTCGCTGTAAAAGAAGTCTTTGTCCGCTGACTCGCCCAGCAGGTGTTGCCAGATCTGGCGCCGCGCCGATGGCTCTAAACGGGGGCCTATCATTTCAGCCTCCGCGGAATGCGCATGCTTCCGCAATAGGTCGACAAGTAGAGGCAAGACGGTGTCTTTCTGCTTGCCTAGAGCTTCTTCCCATATCTGTTGCACTTGACGAGCCGCAGCCCGCCAGGATTTCGGTCTGTGACGATCGCGGCAGGTGGCCAACGAGACAAAATTGTACGCGAAGAGGAATGCGCCGCCCAGGCTGAAATTGGTCAAGGTGATCCCATTGTGACAGAGCTGACCTCGCAGCTGGGGATCCAGGATCAAGTCACCATGTGCAGTGGTGATGAGACTGGAAGGATAGGTGAGCCCGCGAATGTCGATCGTCGCCAAGCGGAGCCATTCCAAAAACGCGTCCGGCGCCACCGGTCGGCTGGACTGGGCCCGCGTCGCGCCGATCACCACTGCCACATCTCTGCCCGCTCGGTAACGTAGGCTTGCCAGTCCAGGGCGGGGTCGGTCCACTCGATCGCGGTGGTTTTCTGAGAGTGCGACCGTACAAGATACCGAAGCGGTGTCTGCGTGCCTGTCAAATCTCCAATTGCAACCAACCACTCGCGGCGATACTTACGGGATAGCGATCTCTCGAGAGAATCAGGGCCGCCAGCTTGAGACCGTCGCCGTGACGTCCAACCAGATGCTCGTGGGAAGCGTGCGCATCTTTGGTTGAGAATCCCATGGTCAGAGCATCGATAGGTAGTTGCATGCATGCATTTGCGATCGTGATGCAGCCGGTCTTATTGTCGTACCGAATGAAACCCAACGCGCGTCGATTCTCACGCTCCCCTCGCTGCTCGGTAAGGTGTGGCTCGGGAACAACAATTGAGAGAAAATCGCCGTGGTCGTCCAACAATGGCAGTGAGCTCTGGTGGTCCACATTGAATCTTTTAATAGTGGCATCCTTCCTGTGTTTATTATCATTGATCCCGCGGAAGAGACCGGCACGTACCAATTTTGATACAGTTCCCGAAAAGCATCTGTTGGCGTCCAATCTTTGACGTAGCCGAGGAAGACGCCGAGAACGCGTCGGGGTGCTCAGTATGTAACAAGAGTGGTTTTCTGACTCTAGAGCAGCTCGAGTTGAAGCTGCTGGTTTGTCTTTGCCATCAGACCATCATCTTCGCTCGTGTCGGTGTCATGATTGGTTGTCATACTTTGAATATGTGGTAGGCAAATCGAGATGAGTTAGTTTCAGGAAGAGAATTGACTATAGAAGGGTAACCCTATTTATAACCTCGCTTTCACGTTGAATCACTAAGCCTGTTACAAATGTTAAGCAATGGTAATTGTTCTATCATACATGAACAGTCTAATGATGAGGCGCAAGTACCTCACTTCCTCGAGTTTGCATCTAGTTGTCAAGGGAACGTTTCCACCACTCAATGGTTTGGAGTTGCCACTCACCGTTGACGGCGTGGCTCTTGTTTTGCAGGCGATGCAATAGGCGTTCGTCCACTTCTTTTCTGGTGTCCGCACAATATCGATTCAACATGCGTTCACAAATCGCTCAGTATGTACCCCGGCACTTTATAAGGAGGGAGCCTGTTGGCTCCATACAAAATCACCTACACACTGTAAGTTAAGTATATTTACCCAAAGGTATGACCATGGTGCGTGGGTGAGGAATAAAATGCGCTGTGAAATAAATCTACGACGGCATGTTCTGCATCTCAAATCGGGCGAACATGTCCGCGCGGTTTACCTAATCATGGAAAATAAAGAAAGATATCTAGAGACTATATTCATGCGAGTCGTATTATTCCATGGTGCTTCTGTATAGGTTTCCCGGGTTTGGTATATCTAAATGTAGGGTAGCTAGTGCTCTGGTGATAGTGAGTGTGAATGTGTATACTGTATATATATGCAATAGTTTACCGCTTTAGCCCATTCCCAGATTGAATGCGCAGAAATCCGAGGCTACCTGTCCCTCGAGGTTCAGCCTTGAAGGCTTTGGATGCAACATATAGCTAAAGCAGTATCTACAGTAGAATCAGGAATAGTCGTTGACTAATGCCGGAAGAGACTATGCTAGTAATTGCAAACAGATGGCGCGTGAGGGGGGTTCAACTTGGGGTTCAACACCCGAGGAGGTTGAACCCCTAGTCATAATCGCGACCATTGCCCCACTTATGCGTCACGTAAACAGATAACGTTAAAGCGTAAAAACATGAGGATCAACCAGGTGCTTGATTCGCCATAGCTTGTAATTCCATCGAAATCGTGCCGGAAACAACGTGGTGAAACCAGTTCACTATTGCTTTGAATACGCCATCCATGTCCGTTTTCCCTATTCTCGTACACGCACGCGATGAAAAGCGCCTGCCAAAGACCGTATTACATGATGCTAGGGTTGTTCTTATTTGATGGCTTCTATGTACATACCCTGTCAATGCTCCTCTAGGTTCAAAGCCGGGTTTACTGTGAATATTTATCCGGTTCCCTTGATAGCTTTCCGTCCCAGAATAGGCAAGATTATTCCTAGAGCGGGTTTTCAGCTTCCTAGAAATGTGACATACGCACCTGGGAACATAAAACCCCTATCCTGGAAACAGTATTGCTCCTGGAACTAACGGTAAAGTTCCTGGAGGCCGCCTTAGGCCATCCCAGAATCGACGAAAGTGCCACCAGGCTCAGAATTCTTTCAAGTATAGATGAAAAAATTCTCCGGCAGTTTCATGTGGCGACTTACACATTTATTTCACAGCTCCATCTAGTTAAGAAACGTAGGAACTTACTCCTCCTAAAACTCACACGATTCTTCGAGGACAAATGCTGATCTCTGGGTCGACTGAAACGTCTCTGGAACGCCCTGAGTGTCCCTTGGATTGATTTCATGAATATACATAAGGTTGCAGAGCACTTATATGAGGTACAGAAACATATATGTTGACCCGAGGAGATTTGTTGCTCCAGGGCCCTCCATAACAGTTCCCAGAAGTAGTCAAATGTCCTCTGAGGAGCGAATGAAGGAAAATCTGCGGCTCCGTGTTTTCACAGCTTCTGTCTCCTTTTATGACGGCCCCCCGAGACCTTTTTGATAAAACGAGGAAAATAAAGTTGAAGATGCTCTTTATTCAGAAATGGTTTGAGATTTGCTTTCCTCTTTAACCTATCTCTAAATCACGTAGATATATCAACACGCTGGGGATAGAACCGGAAGAATGACATCACTCAACCTTATTGGTGGTGAGTGATTACTTACTTGGCCCAGTAATATTTGTAAACAGCGGTAACGTTAGTCCCTCTACGCTAGATTCACAAAAAACCTGCTAAGATTAGCTGTTCAAACCTGCCAAAGGGTTTTACCGCTTTTATCATCCGCATTTTTCTCGTTTCCTTCCTCAATCCAAAAATACATCGTTTTGTATGCAATAAAAGGACCAACATCATTCAAAAGGTCACCAAACCCAGGGGTTCGCTCACCATAGGATATCTCACAGGAGCAAGTTTGAATCTTTCTCATGGAGGATGCCATATGTGCGTTGTTTACTTTCTGAAAACGAACCCAGCCAAAACCCTACATGAGGGGCATATTTGATGGGGCAGGCTAAATTATTACTCCGGTCACTATCTGGAGTTTCCTGACAATATTTCTATGAGGCGTTGAATCAGATCACCCCTCCACCGAGAATGGCATACGGAGTTTACTGCGCCTCTAGGTTTATCGGAGCTACGCATTCATTTATACAATACATGCCATAGTTGAGACAGACGTGTGTAGAAGTGTGAGATGAAAAATTTTCTAATATAAATTTAAACCCGATGATTGCGGGCGCTTCCTTACATCATGCAACATTATCCCTCCAATTCAGAGATGGCGGCCTGTTCTAGGCTGTATCAAACATACTCCGCAGAGCCTCCACAGTACAATAAACATGGTACGTCTTTTTATCCAGTCTGGCAGCAGTGGATCGGGTTTAAGAAAATGCAGACTGGCAGAGTGCTGAACGCTTCTGGGAGATGAGAGACTCTTGGTCATTCTTCCGAAAACTTCGAGAAGCATTTCGTATCGATCGAGCATTTCTGAAATCACGTCATTTGGTCACATCGCCTCGGGATCTGCAATACCGAAAGTACATCCTATCCCAAGCGATGATGAATGTCAAGGCATTCCGTCGACAAATAACAAGAGGCGAATTCAGTTTCGAGGTGATCAGCAAAAGAAGAGCTAGCGTTTACGGAGCCTATGCTCAAGCCATGAATGAGATTGAAACCTGGACGGGTAAGTTGAATAGATTCAAAACTGGGCAGGACATTAATATGTACTGGAATAGATTATCGATTCCCTACCACTGCTTTCATCGGCGAATGATCAATATGGGGAGGTTACGATTGTTGCGATGGAAAATTGTCCAAGTAGATCAGAAAACTAGGTAGATTCTGGCGATGTCGATACATGTCTTACACTGTAGAACAGAAGAGACTAGGTTATAATTTAAACCTACTTCAACACCTGATGTTATTGGCTTGTTGAGCCCTTGTTGCCTGCTGATGGTATTAAACGCTAACGGGGCATAATAAGAGGTCCTGATCTATTCGTGATATGCACAATCAAATGTTCAGAGAACCATCACTAGCTGCAATATACAACTTTTGCTCTACGTTGAAGCGGCAAGTTATGCTTTTTATTGACGTCAGCGGAACAAAGCTTATGGCCGTTATTATTGCCGAGAAGAATGGCCGTGAATTTGACATCAATGACACGAAAAAGGCGACTGATTACTCCTCGATATACTTCCAGGGATGGATGTAAGTGTGGACAGCGGTTATTGTAGTGGGGCAAGGATCACAATCATCACAATTTTCAACTCGGTCCTTGAATGCGAGTCGATCATGATTCCAAGAAGCCATTCTATTCATCTTCATACTGGGATTTGAGTGGAACCGAAGGGGATGAACGGTGAGAGTGGAGAGTCGCATTTATTTTGAGGCTGTCTACTTCGTGGGTGAGACCTCGAGCACCCAACCGAGGAATATCGATGTTGACGGTAGCAAAACAAGCGATTGTATACAGCGAAGGCGCCGAGAAACGAAATGCATAGTAGACCAGGAACAAGGTATCTAATCAGCCTGTATCGCATTCGTTCCTCAAATATATTTCACGGGTCTAGGTCAAACCAAAAACTTGATGGCCGCAGAAAAGTTTGCCAAGTTTGGTAGATTCCAAATAATTAAGTGAAACTATAAATGCAAGTACAAGACACCCAGTGACTCTCGCAAGATAGAATACTTTCTCCTACCAGACAGGTATTATATCTCCCTGGGTGAATCAGATATGCACCTCTTACTAGCACTTCTTACCTCCATCTCGGTGGTTCTTGCCGGGACACTTCAGATAGTGGACCACGAGGGGCAATGCTTCGTGTATTCTACGGAAAATTTCGACTGTACTGGGATTTCAGAGCCATTTGCCACTCTGAATGGCACTTCTTGCTCCAGTAAGGCGACCATCAATGATAAAAAGCTAGTACTAACGACTTCCAGATCTGATTACAGCGCGGAACCACACCAAATCCGACTCCGATACAGTCAAAGTCAATTTATGTATCTCTAACGAACATTTCGCCTGGGTGGAGGTGTATCAGAGTGGTCTACTGTACTTCCATAATGATCAGGGAGACGCAGTGAACTGCAAGATCGATAAAGCTCTACAAAAGGGTAGTTTATGCACTGCGGAAAGCACTTCAAGGACTGTGATACCAAGCGAAAATCCTCAGCCGACTTCATCTGACGCTATGTCCTCCCAGGCCTCATTTGCGACAACAGTATCGACCACGACCCTTTCGAACTCGAGCTTTATTAATTCTGCGGGGGGCTGTTAGTTTTGAAAGCCTTCATTTACCAAGGCCGCTTTGCTGCTTGATTTGTCAGGTTTCTCTAATTGTTTGACTGAATCCTTTGCGAAGATTGTAGCTTAGTGCAACTATTGAAGTACAACGACACGTGTATTAAGAAGGCCAGGAGGATCTGCTAACCGATATGATTGCTGGCTCTGTAGTTTCCTTGTCTTTGCGCTGTTTTCAAAGGGTCTTGGTTGGTACAGAAGTTATTAAAACAGCTTAATCTGCCAGACACACAAAATGCATTCCTCCAATAACTCAAATCTTCCCGGAACTCTCATCGGCATTTAACTGGAGAAAGCCCCATCTGGCAGGAGTGTAGCTAGTTGTCGGAAGCTGAACTTTGGCAAAGGCACTCAAATCTCTACTAAGCTACTGGTGTAACCTTTTGCTGACAAATTTTCTATTTGTTCCCAGTATTTGTTTGCAAAGGACCTACGGAAATACGTCATAGATATGTCTTTATCTTTCTAGTTAGACCAAGCGAAACGGGATTTGTTTCTCTGAGCGAATGTGAATACAGCCTAGTAAGGGATAAAATTTGTCACGACGCTTGATATATGTATGGCGTAGAGTGAGCACCTGGAAAAAAGGACTCCAGATTTGGCCATGAGGGAATCTCTTGCCGAAATAATGTGGGACGTAGACAACTACTCTTGAAGCTCTCTTTACGTTGTTTCTCACAAGGGTATCATTCTTAGGCATAGCTATCGTGACTTCTGGAAGGACGCCAGGGAAAATCAAAGAAAATCAAAGAAAATCCGGTCCACGCTCGCTCGCCCTTCAGTAACTGCCTTCAATCACTGCAAGAAGCCAGTTCAAGAGGAGTTATTGTTCCACGCGCGCACATATCCGATCACTCATCAGAAGAACCTCCCAATCCTCAATCAATGCCGCTGTGCCGCAAAGTAAATGACCGCCATGGACCCGTAGATAGCCAGACCAAGACCTCCGAAGTATATCATGCTGTAGTACAGAAAGCCGCTCGGTATGTCATTAAAGCTGGCAAACAAGATCCGGAGTCCATAGATATTGCTTGCGATATAACCCATCAAGAATAGGATTGCCAGGCTTCGAACGAACTGAATGTAGACGAAAGAATACCGGAACCCGTTTCTCTCCCGTACAAGTCGCAGGTAGGCGGCGAGGATGAGCCCAAATGCAGACAACAAAGCTGGAGGGAGAGCAAGAACCAACATGCTTTTGAGTACGTTGGTCAACATATTTTCGAACATGATAGCTAGCATGGAGTGACCGGATACGGTGTGGCCTGGTGTCGCGTGATCCCGCATGATGAATGCAAAGTTTTCGACCGTGAGCTGAAGGTGGTTGCAGATAAAAAAGTTGTGGTGACGAAGAGTATCAAGAGACGTACGTGAATTATATATCCACTCGATTTGATAGATATGAGGTACTTTCAGATAACTTGGTCTGAATACAAGGACCTTGCAGCAAAAGATAGTCCAACCAGGCGAAGAGTGGCATGGATTGTGATTAGGGAGATAATCCTACAGGGACATCTTATAGTATATGAACATAAACTGCATTGCCACCGAGGCCTCTAGGATAAGGTAGTGAGCCGACCAGCTATGTCAGTTCTAGGGCGCCTTACGACGATTTCAGGTCAAGACTGTGGCGATGTAAGGGCTCTCCTAGGAACTCCTATATCTCAGAAACAGGGCATGCATCGGACCTGGTAGATAAGTGGCAAATATTGTCACCCTTGCGCTTGAGGAGCGGAAAATGACGTTCTTTGTGGTTACGTTCGGAGTAATCCCCATCCCGGTGACATGGAAATCCCCGATGTGGTGAAACGTCCACCAGGTACTTGCACATTCGAGGCCCCTCACTCCCAATACATATCCTGGATGTTGCCTGAAAGCTGCAAAAACGACAATCATTGAATGCATTCTTGATAGCTTTTCAAACACAAATTACAAAATGTTAGTGTGGCGAAATATAGACCGAGACGCACTGCTAGAGAGTCCGCCGTTGACAACTATCACGCCAAGATCACATCCAAAACGCTTGAGATGGGTAAGAAAGGTAATTTTGCATCCTTTCGTCTACCTTTCGCCCAAAATCAATTTCTGAGCTTATCATAATCATATTGCCTTTGGAACTGCTTGTCAATGCTCACGGACATTTTTGTATGTACCGATGTCAATTCGCCTTGGTACGCTGGGAGCATAGCAACAGAAAGGTACTGTACGAGTCCGTAGAAACAATGAATTATTTTCGGGTGGGCAAGATACATCGGGACATTTCGCAGCTGGACAAAGGTTCGCATTCTTTCATGGCGCGAGGCGTCAACACCACTCACTCAAGGTGAGGCTTAGAGATTGGTTCAAGTCATTTGAGACGGATACAGGGTGAAAACGACAACTGGCCCTAGGCTGGCATCTCCGCGGTCTCGCCTATCCTGTTTCTACAAGTGGATGGTTTGTCATTTCCACCTTGCATAGTTGCTCTTTCAATCACATTGAGACGAAGTGACAGAGCAAGACACTTTCTCCGTGCTAGATGGCACCTTCCGCAACAGCTATGAGTGGTCTCCGTTACTGGCTTAGATAGATTTATAGAAGTAGTCAAGTATCCGTTCACTGAATATCTAAGAGGACAAGCAGGGCACGAGAGTGCTATCTATTAGAGACACGCTGATTTGACGGCCTATGTGGCTCTGGAGGCCAACTTACGCTCTAACCCTTATTTCCCCAGGATCGCGACCAAGGTTCCTGTGAACGCTCCTCTTGAGCCTGGGAATTCATAGGCTCCTGGGAGCCTCTAGTTTGCCTCTGCAGATCCATAGAGTAGCGTGCTAGCCTAAACTAGAATGCTCGGATGATGCATCAGGATCCGAACAAGCGATATAAAAGCGACCATTCCTTCCACCAATACGTTTTGCGATTAGTTTGCCTATCATCTGGCATCTTGACACTCGAGCTTGGTACCATCTTGAATCCACATAATGTCACAAAATCTCAGATGTAACACTTCGAATTGGCTGTTTCAGCTTCCTCCAGAGATTCTTCTCTACCTTTCGGAATTCTTCAACTCATCGCGAGATCTATTTGCGATGGCTTGTGTGAACAGGAATTCAAAAGATTTTTTCCTGCCGTGTCTCTACAGCTTCAATGTTCGCCGTCAAGAAAGCTCCGCGTTGATCTGGGCCGCTCAAAATAACAAAATCGCTCTGGCAAATCGTTTGCTAAAGGAATATCGAGCAAATGCCAACGCGACAGATGATAGATCTCGCACGCCTATTTTTCACGCAATTCAAGTTGGAAGTGAGGAAATGATTCGAACTCTTCTGGAAAGCGCAGCGGACATCAACTGGCCAGACGACCGACATCAGACCCCCTTGCTATATGCTCTACAGCGGAAGCACCTGTCCATGGCGCGCGTTTTGTTGCGACATTTCAATCCATCAGTGGATTGTAGGGATTCCATGGGTCGAAATGCTATCTGGTATGCTGTCGCCAGTTGCAATGAGCAATTGGTACGACCTCTTCTAGAACGGCAAAGCGACATATGGATGATGGACTGCCGACAAACCACCCCTCTCAGTCTGGCGATTTCCAAACGGAATTTGCCTATCATCCAGCTCCTGCTTGATCATTCACAAGCTCATCCTTCACAGCCCCGACTGGTGGACGTCAATGCTGGAGACCACCCGCTTTGCTTGGCCGTCCACGCTGGTCTGAATGAAATTGCTCAAACTCTGATTAAGTACGGTGCAGAACTCCATGTCAGAGACAGATACGGCCAGCCCTTGTTGCACCGAGCCGCCAGCAACGGACATGATGACGTCACCAAGCTGTTGCTGGGCCATGGAGTGGATGTCAATAGTACTGATCCGGGGGGCCGAACGGCATTGCACTTTGCTGCATTTTATGGCCATAAGTCGACTACTAGGCTATTGTTGAGTACCCCTGGAATTGACATTGCGGCTTGTGACAGCGAAGGGGCTACACCTCTCTGCGCGGCCGCACGTGGAAACCACCGATCTGTCGCATTGCAGATCTTGGCCGAGGAACCAATCAACATCAATGCACGCGGCTTTGGCCAAAAGACTGCTCTTCATTTTGCGGTTCAAAATAAAAACTTTCACCTCGCGTGTCTCCTTGTGGACTTGGATTCACTGGACCCAAACCTCTGCGATGACCAGGGGTGGACAGCCCTCAGCTACGCGGCATGTCAGGGCGATATCCGGATGTTGGAGCTTCTCCTTACCAGGACCGATCTAGATTTGGATGTACCGCGAGCATCTCCCATTTATCTTGCTGCCGAGAGGGGGCATGTGGAAGTTGCCCGCCGACTCGTTTCCCTTCAACAGGTCGATATCAACCAGACATTCTGGCACAAGTCTCCTCTTTTCATCGCGATCGAAAACGGCTACCGTGATGTGGCCAAAGTGCTCCTCGCACAAGGGTCTCGACTGGATGTTAATGCAAAGACCTCTCTTGGGGACACCGCACTGCACATGGCTGTCTCGTATGGGAATCTGGATATTGTGGAGCTATTGCTCAGAGACGATCGAATCGATGTTACGGGGACCAATAGATATGGGGAGTCAGCCCTGGAGCTGGCAGCCCGGAACGGGAAGGAGCACGTTGTCAGGCTTCTTTGCCACGACCGCCGAGCAAGAAATGCAAGGCACTTCCGGAGTGCCATGGAAGCAACATCAAATCTTCGGATTCTGTATTTTCTTCAGGGCCAGTTGATGAGACGTGACGTGCAACACGATGTGCGTCGGTCAGCTCGACTTGCCGGAGGAAGTTACCAGATCATAGAACCTCCACCAGGCCGTCACTTCGAAGGTCGGCGCGCTTGTCACAGTCAAGAGTCAGGAGAGCGTAGATGACGGATTCAGGTCAGTGTGAACTCTAAATTAGTAGTTTTCAGACCTCTTTATGCTTTCTTAAGATTAGTAGAAGTTGTTATCGGTGACTTAAAATTCAGTAATTGGCAATATGAAGCATGTTCAGGGTATTGCAATATGGACAAACAACCCGATAGCGCTGTTATATATCGTTTTCCACCGTCCGAAATTTGTTTCAACCGTCGCTTGTATCGCTCCGCGGGTATCTGTTGATGGTACTGTCTGAAGCCATGACTGTGAGCTGGGGTGGTTAAGAAGCCACTTACACGCCTCCACAAGCGCTGCTTCCGGGTTGAATTTATGGGAGTTGACATTCTCGAACCTGAGGATATCAGTAAAAACCGCCGATATCCATAGGATAAGAATGATCTATTTCCCGAGTGTGGGCAACGGCGAGAGCATATTATCATTAGAGATAAGGAAGTTCAGCGTACCAGGAAGAGCTATTCGATTGTAGGGGCTGCGGGCCCCGAGCCCCACTGCAGTTTCTGAATTGATTGTCTAGACGTGAACGTGTCGACGATTGACTGCAGAAAAGCTCAGCAGAAAGGGGAGTTACTGCCGTACCATGATTGTCATCTAATTGGTGACACTCTCTACTTCTGATGCCTCATTATTAGTGAAGGCATTGCTATTTTCGGAGGCAACTGATCGGGCTTCCAGGAGCGAGATCCACATATTTGAGGGTTTTTCCATGGTTACACAGAGTTTGACATTGTTTCGGCATCCGAAATGGACATCAAGGGAATATATAGTGGGTTGATCCTGAATACAAGACGTAGAGCGAGGGATCAATGCAGCAGGCCTTTGTCACGTCGAGGGTGACCGGTAGAATGGTAGCACCCCCAACACCCCCTAGATACTGAACGGTCGAACAGAGATATAAGATGCAGGACTGTACAATGGTCTACACCATATGCAGCATGTAAGTCTTGCGTATATCATGTCATCATCCGCCCTGTAGGCTTTATATATGATTCTGAAGTCGGCATTACATATCGTAGAAGTGAGGCCGGAAGCCTGCACGTAGAACTACCTGTCCTAGTGATATCCTACTTGAAAATTAGAAAGCACATTTCTGGCCCTAAGAACAAGGAAAACGGCTCCAGGATCTGGCTCGAAAGCCCCAAGAGCAAAATGGCTCCTGGGGCGAGTGGTTGCATTCCCAGATTCGGTTCAGCTATTCGCGGGATCGCCCATTGGGATCCCAGAATGGACCATTTGTCTCTTAATCAGCTCGGAGGAGAAGCCTGCCCGTAAAACCAAAGTTCCCGGTCCAGGGGCTTCTCACACAGATCCCCGAAACCAAAGGTCTGGCCCTGGGATCGGAAGTGAGCGTTCTGGGAGCGCTCCAACTGCTGACACGCTTTAATATGACCCTTAAACCGACCGTGCCGTAACAGGTTAAACTAGATTGTGAGTATGAGCAAATCAGGGACGCAGCTTTCAATTCTCAAAATTGCACAGCCGATGCACTGTAGTATGGTTGCACTCAATAAAGGTGTATGCAGGGATGGTAACTAGGTTCTGTTCGAGCGTACTCAACAGATTAGGGCGCGTTGACGTAGACTTACTCAGAACACAACACGTCCACCAGCCTCAGTTTCAAGGCTTAGCCAATGCTGAAAGTAAAATGATGGTGATAATATAGCAGGCCGCAGTGAACTGGGGATCCACCGCACAACATTTTTAAGTGTGGATCGTTGATACAAGGGTGAAGCCTGAACAAACAAAGGTGAATGTTGGGAAAAGCCATCGCTACCTCACCAAATGAAGCATAAAGAACTGATGCCATGACATGGCTCTCAGAAAAGTTTTTCACTGAATCAACTTCATTGTTGGCCGCCCCGCCGCCGCAGTAGAGAAAGGTTCAACATGCATCACTTTGTATATCATGAGGCTGTTTAGATTGGCTACATACAGACAAGTCCACGGCATTGCAATATGAAGCACGCGGTAACAAGATGCGCCAAAAATCTATAAATATGGCCTTCTCCCCGGGGTTTCTGTCGAAATAAATCTCTGCTTTGTCGCATTGGATAGACTCCTCGCCCCAAAAAGCTGTTAGATGCTCTACAGCAGCCAACCCACGATATGTTTTTCACCTTTGATTCCCTCCGAGTATGTCACTTACTTACACAAATATTACATGCCCAGGCCATGAAGCCACCCAGCTCTCCCCAGTCCCTCGACGGTTCACTCCAATCGACTTGTGTTCGTGCCGACTAGCCAGACCCTCAGTCCAGACTAGGCTCAAAGCGTCTGTACATTCGCACATATTTATCAGTCTCGTTGAGTCGAGATAACAATGTCAATTTTCACTGGCCCTTTGACGATGGGAAGACAGGTGAGGCTTCCTGTGCAGGTTATAATTTTGTCAGCACAATACAACCGGACACTGTGCTGAAACACCAATATTACGACCAGCCCTCGATTCAGATTCAACCGCTCAAGGTTAGCGTCACAAATATGCCACACCCACCAGCCAGCCATAGACGAAAGCCAAACCACCGATCAGTCCAGGACGTGTGAGCCAGCTCTTATGTGAGTCATGAGTCTCTTGTCTGATCCGCTTGCTAATATATGTCCGACAGAAAGTGACTCCGGCGAGACCTTCAGGAATGATCAGCATCTGATAATGATGCACGCGTCGACTTCGACGGCGATATCTCGAAAGGAATTTACGAGGTTCACGCACACGTCGCCATTGGCTCGGGTAGTTCGAAAGCTGGGGGAGTGTCCCGGAGCATGGCTACATCTGCAGTCCGCCACGGCTGGAGCTGCAACTGGCTCGTATTGAAGTTTGTTGGACTCTGAGTACGTCCCCTCGTCGTAATATCCCCATGATCTTGGTCGAAGCCTGCGAAGGGCGATAAAGGACATCAGACAGGATGGGAAGACGAGGAGGGACTCTCATATTACGAAATTCATGCTGAATATCTTCTGCCATCAACTCTGCAAGAAATCTGCGGGATGCGACGCAAATTCTTGAGCGTGCATTATACGCATGCAAGCCATTGCCCCGTTCACTACAAAGCGAGGAATCTCTTGCCTTGCGTGTCTTTCGGATGTGTCAACGTCAACAGGACTCCTGGTTGCCGAGATCCAACCCGTTCTCGTTAGAAGCAGTCATCGCTAGGAAACTTCCAATCCTAGTCGATGAACACTAGCTCCCAAAAACCAAAAACATTTGCAGTTCGTCTGAGGCAGTCATGAATCACAATATGGCGAGATGTCAAAGGCGCCTATGACGGTGGGATTGAACCGTTTCTCTGCGGAAAAAAACGAGAACGAAGAATCTCGCAGGTCCACATCCGATGATGTAAGAGTCCTCTTCCTTGCAACAGGCGTCCAAACCTCGTGAACATCTACCAGTCTGATTGGATGGCTATTGAGCATGCAGGGCTGCCTGCAAAGCTTGCTGCCATCTCCGATTCCTGAATAAAATCTGAATTCTCTGTGGCCGTTGAAAAGGGAGACATCGCTGTCGTCGACAACTACACAACATGGACAGTGGAATCCATTTCTAAGACGAGTACGAATGTCTTGCAACTGGTCAGTCCACGAGCTTTCGATGGGCGTCGCAGTCTGGTATGACTCTTGAGTCACTAAACATCGGTTCATCCACCTCACGCGAAACCAACGACATCGACAGCGCCAGCTTTCTGTGGTCCAACTCCACGTGGATGAAGCGACTGTCGCCGCGGGTCCTGAAGCGGAGGTTTTCGTCAAAACCAACCTGAATGGCTTCTCAATTCACGGATCGGTAAAGCTGGTGGACAAGATACAAGCAGTGCTGGCCCTTACGACTACGCAGGGAATCTCCTTCGTTGGCTTGGCAGGTCTTCACCATCACAGTCGCATCGAAAATGACTATGCGGCGTTTAGATGTTGTCTATAAGACTAGATACATCCCTTGCAGCAGAAATCGAATATCAATTCGAAACCGTTCCTCGTGTCGCATCGCATGCGATAGCTGGGGGATCCCCAAATGCAGCCCTCGTCATCAACGAGGGACAGACGAGGACTGTAGCGACTGTCGTGCGCCATTGAGCCCGCATCTTGAACATCGGATCATTTGCCATGCTTTGCCAAAGGGTCACCGCTTTGGTTTAACAGTCTTATGATTCTCATGGTGAGTTTCTCACCTTTGATACTGTCCGAGCCCTTCGCTTACTGATATGAACAGCACACACCCCGAACCTTTGAAGCCACCAGCTCCGTTACGCAACATATCTCGAGCATCTGCTACGTGCTATCGCCTATCAATCGTCACACATGACCTTGGCTGAAGGGCAGCCCAATACGACGAGGCGTTGGGTTGAAAGTAGGAGGAAGTCGGGCTGATCCGTGCCAAAGTCAGCTGTGCGTTGTCCAAACGGTCCACCGAGCATCTTTGGAGCAAATCAAAGCGTGGGCAATATTGGAGATGAAGACTTGTGAGTGGGCTCTTCTTTGACGGAATACATACTGTACTGACGGAAAGGGGTATTGTTCAAGCGCGGCGACCAGACCAATCCTGCGGGATTGGCAGAGCACGGCACAAACTTGCACTCGTCTTGCACGCGTCTTGCACGCGTCTTGCACGACCTCACCGCCTAACCGTTCGCGGTGGATCTTTACCGAGGCCACCCAGGTGCCAAGCACTGCTCAGCGACGCGTTCCCTCCCACCCAATGCGTCCTCGGAGACACCGCGCTGTCTTTCCACCCAAATGGTCGGCTTGGCAATCACCCACACCCTGTGCCATTCTTGCTCACGACAGGCCGCTCAACACTGGCCAACCTTCTAATTCTTTCCGAGTACGATATCTACCTGCCGGCTGATCGATACCTACCGATTTCGATCGGCCCGTGCCCAGAAGAATTCAGCGAATGTGCATTTCAGCGTGTCATCCGCTCGGCCTTTGTGATGCATGGATATAAATGCTAGCGAATCGCTGTACTTCCACAACATTCGCGAACGAATCGAGACGAATCCGGGGTTTCAGGAAGATTCCGATGAAAAACAAGCACACTTTCCCCAACGAAAAAGCCGATCTCACCGAACTCAATGGGCCATACCGACTCGTCCGGCAAGCGGCCCATACGCGATTGCAACCGCTGGCACTTCAAGGTGTACCGGTTGAGCGATTCAACTCAACTGTGGTTGACACGAGGGCCACAATCTGTGGGACAACAGGCAGTGCAAGCCACGTACAAGTAAAGCGTGAACCGACTGTCTTGCCGAGCCATTTCCAAAGCAGCCATCGGCGGGCCAAAATCGGCCTCTCCAGTTCCGAGGAGGCTTCGTCTCAGGTAATTGGCCTGCATCACTGCTCAATCATTCCCCGAGCTCTGGAGTCTCGGGGTCGAGTGCTCTGAAAGTTGCCACTCCCTTGCTATCCTTCCCCAATAGAGCGCCGTCTCTAGCGCTGTCGAGCATATCAGAGCCCTAAATAGTGCCTTCAAAATACGGAAAGACGCATCTTTCCACGTGATTACTGATTTTGAAGCACCGGTGCAGCTTATTTCCTCATTGGGGACCACCTCGTTTCTCCTCTATCACGTGACTATAGAGCACCAGCCTCGAACCTGCTGAAGACAAGTTGATTTTGAGCTTCAAAAAATGGATGCCTATTTTCTTGCTGAGTAGAAAAGCGCAGAAAATTTTGTGTTGAATGATGTCGATTCCATCCGAGAAATGCTTCTGGGTAGGTGTGGGACGCTATGAAGAGGAAGCAATGATGGGGGAGAAGCCTGTTGTGAGAGAAGCGAACACGGGACAGGCTTGAGAGGCATCTAATGCTTATAGCCACATCACGCTAGATGCGTCAGCGACTATTTTACAGATCCATCACGTTCAGCCTCTTTGTTCGATGGGCCGTCCAAGGATGAGTGGTCGTTCGCGCTAAGGAAGCATGGCGTGGACGTGGAAAATTCGCTGTTATTGCGGAGGTTGTGTCTCCTTCAACCGGTTCCTGCGACACCTTCGTGTCATTCCGTGTGTCTATGGGTGTATGATTTCCACGGTTCTTAATTCCATGGCATCCCCAGGTCGTTCATTTTTGACCACTTCTACCGACCTCAGCAGGCTTTTCTGGCCTTGATCTTGAGAACATCATCGTTCTGATCGTGGATGATGCGACATGACGTGACGTTCTTCCGTCTACCTTGGAAGCTATGAAGAGGAAGCCATGATGCTGGACAGAGCTCTGGAGGCTGGCGGCAGGGGCTTATTGTGCCTCCATCCTGCGGTCAATTCCTTCAACTATCTACGTAGTCGCTTTTACAGGCTGGTCTTCGGTAAACTTAGGCCTACGTAGACTGCTGACTGTGCTACTGATGAGACAGCCGCCGGTGTATCACGGTCTTGAAAGTCGGGAATAGAGGGTGGCCTTCCGAGTCCGTCGGCCATGCCCAGGTGGAAGCTCACAATGAGGACCTCGACCACGCACTTATTCGGTGCCAAGTTGTGCTCGTTTCAGGCTGATCCCGCATCGTTGGTTTTCCACATGCAAATCACCTCTGTGATCGATGTAGTTGCTGAATACTTCATCCTCTCAGTCTATCTTATTGTGTATTGAATGTCCTGGCACTTCAAATTATTTAAATCAGTACCCGTTACGTACAGGAAAGGCAATAAAAAAGATTGTCCTCAGACACACGTACCTACTTTCCCAGTGCCCCACTTAAACTTGACACTACAGCAATCTGATGATGATCTGGGTCTAGTCCGGCAGTAGGTGTGTCTGGGGAACTGTATTACTCCCAACTATATGATGTACCTCGGTCATATTTCCTAGAAGGAAACTGGTGTAGATTCCTCACTGGTCATAACACTGTGTGACCACTGGAGAGATTTTGGACCATAGATACGAGTTTGCTGTCCAAATAATACTGGTATTCAAAGGGAGACATGAGGCCGAATATACGACGAGAAGACCAAGTTGATTGATAACAGTGCGGGTGGGTGGGCCTTTCCCTCAAGTCGGACAAAAATCTGCTCAACGAGTGTGACCCCGCTGCGCCCGTTGAACGACTAACCTTCTGTCCGCCAACGCAGGGTCAAAATCAACATCACCATCAACATCACCATCAACTTCACTATCAACTTCACTATCAACTTCACTATCAACTTCACTATCAACTTCACTATCAACTTCACTATCAACTTCACTATCAACGTTCCCCTCAGGCCATGATTGCGCGGTCAACAAACTTGACTAAAACAGTGGATTTTCTCATCGCTTCAAAGATGCCAGTTAGACGACTGTTCTTCAAAACAGAAAGACTTTCCATTCCACCAGCTAGTTTTCTCCAATTCTTGTAACTCCGTAGATTAGAGTCGAACTCGGACAAAACACGTTTGATTTAGTTACACGGGCATGAGATCGGAAGACCGCGTATCATCTCCAATATGTGGTCTCTTTAATATTCGGTGCCTGAACTACACTGTAAATATTACTATGCGTCTGTCAATATAGTGCTAAGTCCTGTAATATTGCGAGAAATTCCAACACAATAGTTCTATTCGAAGTGTAAAGCAAGGTTCAGTCGCTGACCAACACGCATCATCTAAGCCGCCTTTTCTCACAGACCCAGTGTACATAGTTCCAAAGCTTGGAGAGTGATCGACTTCCTTGTTGGCTGTAGTCCGCTGAGTATAGTTCCGGGGCTGCAAGAGCTGGTTAGTGTTTGATCGAACCAAATACGAAGGCATTCTTACCACATGTTGATAATTCTGCCGACGGCAGCGCTTGAGTCTTAGCGGAGTTTTGTGCAACCTCTGGAATACCCTGGAGCCAATGTCCAACCATGCTGCGATCGATAGAGTCATTGCTCGAGAGACTGCCTTGCGTGTTGTCGTCGGTGACTTTCAGAAGTCGGTTTTTCCCGCGGGTCATCGAGGTCGGCGTCCGCGGTGTCCGCCTCGCACGACCAAGCCGACGTTTTCGTAGGATATGATATTTCTTCCCTCGTAAGGATTCAACAGATCGGCTCACCCCGAATTGCTTCGAATAAGCTTGGGCGCGATCGGTCCACGGCAGTTCGCTGTTCTCTTCCAGCCAGGGAAGAAGGTTATCCTCTTCCCATTCCGACCATCCTGTTGCACTGCGCGAGTACATGGTGATAACCTCACTCACAATGGGAAGAAGAATGTTTGTGCACGGCGAAAATAGAGGGCAGGTAGGTCGACGTTGTTGAGCATTAATACTTCTGGTTTTATGCGATCCAAGGTTCGTATCCTTTTCTCAACGAACCACAGGTCAATCAAGTAATTGCTCTGAATAATTGATTGAATTGATTGGATTAAATGAATCAACTAACAAGCCCCGTCTCAACACATATCCATCCATCAACGACGGTTGTTAACGTTGGCTGAAACGAACCAAGTCGAGGCACACAGGCCTTTGCCACATAGATAAAGGATGTAACATTAAATATACTTTTGAGATCAAACCGTGGAACTGAAAGCGCTCCATTTGTCATGTTGATAGTTCCACGCCTCAACGGCGAAACACAGAGTTTTGAACAGGTACAACGCTTCCTGGTTCACGCATGCTCCGTGCCTTGTGTTAAAATGTAGGTACTATCCAATAAGATGGGGTGCCATTTGAGTTGATGGAACCATCAACGTTGACTTAAGGGAAACATCAGATCGTCAGAAATTGATGTCTGTATTCGGCGCCGGAAATGGAAAGTACGGAAATGGATAGCTGGGCACGTGGGCTAGGATTCAAATGGCGGAAGTTGTGAATTAAAAACCAAACAGACGATTGACCGTTGTTTAGTCGAAAAATATATAATGATGGCTCTGTGAACCAAAAAGCCACAAAATACGCCGTCTGTTTCACGACACTAGACACCAGTATGGGTGCCATTCGAAAGTCTTCGACGTATTCCTCTCGACGACCTGACTTCCGAAAACAACTACAACGTGCGCTGGGTCTATCCTCATCTGAGAGCGAGGATACTCAGGGTGCACTTGAGTCATCCACCGGTGATACTACTGAGGATCAGCAGTCAGTTCTCTCGAAGAGCGATAGATCTAGCGTGCCCCGTGACAGTGTTGGTCCTACATGCGAAAAACAAATCGATCCTGAATTGTTCCCGACTGCTCACACGGCGGACAATATTGAACAAGTGACGGACTTGCCAAGAGATCGTGACATGATAGCTCTGGAATGCGTCGCAGAGTAAGTGCCACCTCTACTGTCCCTGAACCTCTAAAGCTAAATGTCCTTTTTTGCCAAGGCTAGACGTGAGAATGAAGTAAACTGAACCCCGGTGTATCGTATTATCTAGAGGGACGCGTGGGCTAATCAATGACACAGGATGGTGGAAGATTCTATGCACGACCAAGAGAATGTGAATGAGGTGGTCCGCGCCGATTTGGCGGATATACTCGGTCGACTGGCTATCATGGAAGAGAAAATCAGCATGGCTTCGCAAGTGGGACAGCAGGTTCCGCGGGTGAGTCTGCCAACCGGGCGGAGACGGTCTTTGAGGCGATGAGCGAGATCTTTCCAATCGTTTAAGTCTTCCTACACAGATGTCGTTGGCATTCAAATTGATCATCAGGATGAAATGAATAATTACGGAGAAATAGTGTTCATTTGGTGAAGAATTTTTAAAAAGAAAATATCTGAAGGATTGGCAAACTTCGCATAGCGTTATCCGAAGTCTGGTCTAGCGAAGGACGTTAAGTGCGCTCTACCTAGAATGTAATCCCCCACATAGCATGGACCGGGTGGGGTATGAGAAAAGGGCGAGAAAAGGGCGAGAAAACGGCAACGAGTGGAGACCATGCGTACCATTTAACTTTCGTTGGATCGTAGATCCCGGCCGATCATGGTTAATTGAGTTTTCGACTCCGTTGGGAGAAGGCTAGACCACGATCGGTAGTGGGTACGGCGGACTATAGTGTGGCTGACTGGTGTAAGTTTCGAAGGCCTCTCTTTACATGATATTTCTTAAACCTAGAAATTGTCAGAGCAAGCTAAAACAGTAATGGACTAGTATGCGGCGGAGCGAATAGGATCGAAGATGTGTGTATTGGTGGTGGTTATCTAACATAGGAAAAGGGGCATGTGAAGGTGTGTGAAACGAGAGGAAGCTAACCAAATCTGGCTAGTAGTTGGCTGGATAATACCAGTGGGCCTATTTTCTTGACAGAAATACATGCCTAGTGGGCCCCTGCTCCCCATTTCTCCCCGGACAGCTCGTAGATCAATGGGGCTTTGCCCAAATGTGAGGCGGTGTCCCCGCAACGGAATACTATGCCTCATGCGTCGCAACTATGAGGTACGATTTGAATGGGCGGTGGTCTACATGAATTTCTGATATCATGATACGCGACATAATAATAGGAAGATGGCATTCACTTTGCACAAAAATATACCGCATGAAACAATCGCATGACGGCCCAGGCCCTCCACTCTAACGCAATCCTCGGGGTTCTAATTTGCAGATGTCGGCGCTTGCTGAGGCAGGACAGAGTATTCACCCAGTTCAGAAATCTCCGGCAATGAGGTAGAAACGATGGGATCTTGTGCGCTGATTTGACTGGTCCATGCTGTATCCACCACTCCGGACCCTGGCAAATAGGTAGCTAGCTGTCGGTTCTGAATGGCTTCCACATTTCTCCAGAATTGCGTGGCCGCTGCTACCAGGTCACCGTGAGCTTGATACAGAGCTGGTTGGATATCATTCCATGCCACTTGGCCTTGCATGGCGGAATTGAAAGATTCAAGCTGCTGCTGCAACTGACTGGCTTCCATTTGCAATCTTTTGGCTTCGCATGAGAGATTCTCATTCTCCGCCAGTACCTTTCTCAATTTGGCCATCTCTTCCGCCTTCTCCATCTGCAGCCGCTGTATGACTTGGGCACTCTCTGCTCGCTCTTGATCCTGGTCCTGCCGGGCTCTGAAAAGCTTTTCTTGGGCCCTGCCTATGTGTTTGAAACAGGCTTTGTGAACAGACAGACTGTCGTGATTGTCGTCTTCTCGTCGTCTTTTGTGCGGAAATGGCAACTTGTAATCAAGGTCAATATGGGAGCAAGCGTTGGGAAAAGGCTGTGTGGAGGGCTGGCTAGAGATGGAAGATTCACAAAGCTGGGAAACCTTACCTGATCCGTAGCTGAGCGCTTGGCTGATCGCAGTACACGGTGTTCAAAGGTGTCAGAGGTAGCTGATGATCGAGAATGAATTTTGTCCAATTCACCTATGTGGGCGTCTGACTTTGGCCTTGAGCAACCTCTCTCACTCTGCGTAGACTTGATGCTGGGCCGCATCGTAAAATTTCAGCTCGGAGACAGTTGAACCCTCGCGTGCAGGAGAACCAGAGATGGTGGTGGTTACCCTTCATGGGAAACCGATGGATTATATATAGATGATCATAATACGGAATATGAAACATGAGGCAATCTCAGCTAAAATTTAGGGCATAGAAATGCTGGATACTGAACTAGCATCAGAATGGTGCGCCCTGTTACTTTCTAGAGTAACTCACCGATGGCTCGGAAAATGTTAGTGCAGAAATTAAAGTTGACCTAATGTGAAGAGAAACTGAATTTCATTGCAAGCATATTCACATTCGGATCACAAAGCACCCAAAAGAGCACACCATCATTCTGAATTTGATAAGGAAATCCCTGCACTCCACTTTCATGGTGCTCAAAATGAGCACACAACATTAGCAAAATGCCTTACTAAATTGATCAGGTTACAGCAAATGATTCTCCTAAATTGTGTATCTCTGTCTGAAACATTCGCAACGTGGATCCTTTTGTTGAATCTACCATAACTCTTTGTTGTAGCGTTACAATGGAGACTGTTTCAGGTCAATGCTAAAACTCAAACCGTAAACGCCTGCAGACGCATCTAGAGCACCGGCAGTGTTTTATTTCTGGATGGAGGTAAGATAGTCAAAGGTATGGGGCTGCTCAAGCTTTTGCAACTGATCACAATGTGATGATCGAGGAAGCTGGCGTTGCGAGACAGATCATGGACATCTTAAATTTACAACATCATCTTCCATTACACACGGAGATTAGGATGAAGATTCCATTCACGAGGAATAGGTGTCACGTAGTAAAATCTACTCAATTCAACGTGCCAAGTCCAAGTCGAAGGGAGAGACTACAGCAACACTTGCTGATCCCGTGTAGCTCCACACGTAACGCTTCCGACTCTGGGCAAAAAGCTGGCACGCTCCCTTCTGGCCAGCAAGAACAAAGCTACTCCACAAGGAGATCGCTCGTAGCCTGGATTTTGCTGGCAGTAAAGTACCGGAGTGGGTCAAAAATGAACTGGACCTGTTCTAGAAGTTCCCTCCCGAGAAACGTACCCCAAAGTCAAGATGCCCAAGGGAACCAACTTGACCTGCATGGGATTCTTTCAGTGACGGGATTTTTTGACAAAATAATTTGTTTCGAGAAGTTTGGAACGGCCATAACCGTAATAGGAGTTACCGACCCGCAAGGCCGGAATAAGTAATAGTCTTGTATGTTAGACTTTCAGGGCCCACCGGCATCAACCAAGGGGCATAATTCCAAATTCAAAGCCGATGATTCATGGCAATTGTGATGTCAAACATTCGGTTCTATGGATCAGCTGTATGGATTCTTTTGCGCCTTATATGTCCATTGCATTGTTGACGCGTAGTTTGTTGGAACAGGGGCATTTCCGTCAGCGTGCGAACACGACCATTGACAAATATAATTCCAATATTTTCCTACCCATGGATATCCGGGAGAAATAACCTTTGTGGCTTTACTCGGGCCATTCCTTATCACCGCCAGTCGCGCCTTTGATCCAAACCAGAAAACCCTTACCCCACAAGGGGTTTTCAGAAGTACTGATTCCCAGAGGATTGATACGACTCGAAGTACAACTCTACTCGTACTTAGTCTCATTCCCCTTGTCGTATGGTGAAATCGTGCGGATAGAATACATCATGACTTTTGAAGGTGAACTCTCGTACAATGGCCTAAGGATTGGTTCTATTCATGTGTGATTATGTCACTCAGGCCGATATAATAACTAATAGCTAGGCCCGGAAGTGATATTTCACTGGACCTCGTTTGTCTCAGTTCACAGTCGTGATCTTTCCATTTACGCCTGCCTTACGTTGTCATGGACACAACCATCACCAACTTGCCGCCTAACGTAGGAGCCATCCTCATCGAGAACATCTCCATCATTCAAATTATATCCATGTTTTCGATCGGCGCCTACAACGCCTTGGAGACGGGAATCGCCGTGTTCGACTCATTCCGACGTTACCGAGGGCTCTATTTCTGGAGCATGCAGGTAGCATCGTGGGGCATCCTGGTCCATACAATCCCGGCTATGATACGATTTGTATCTCAGTCATCCAACCTGGCCATGTCAATCCCATTCATTCTGGGGTGGTATGCCATGGTGACTGGACAAGACGTGGTGCTCTATTCCCGCCTGAATGTGCTTGCGACAAACCCCCTGAAGCTTCGCTGGGTGCTATGGATGATTATTACAAATTTCTTCATCCTACATATTCCGACGACGGTACTCTTCTACGGTCTGAATAGTGGTCACAGCGAATTTGCCGGACCGGCAGCTATCTACGATCGGATCCGGGTGACCGGATTCTGTATGCAGGAATTGGTTCTCTCGGGTGTCTATATACATCAGGCAGTGGAAAGAAGGAGGGATAAGCGAGATCTACATCACCAACAGGACCGAAAAGTCATCCTTCACCTACTCTGGATCAATATTCTTGTGGTCCTGATGAACATTCTGCTGCTCGTGGCCGAGTACAAGCTTCACTACATCGAAGTCAGCCTCAAAACCGTAGTTTATAGCATCAAGCTGAAGCTGGAATTCACGGTCTTGAATCGTCTGAGAAAGCTGGGATATACGCCACCTCCTGCCTTGGCTTGCCAGATGCCCGAATATGCCAGGCAAGACAGCAATGCCAATCTGGTGGGACGATCACGTCTCCACTCACGCCAAGAGTCAAACTGCGAATCTGTGCACACGGTGTGTGGGATAAATGTGCCACCTCGTGCCTTCCAACGACCCAGCCTTCAGGCGAATCGTGAGGCCAAATACGAGACTGATAGGGACGATACGAGCCTCCCGTCGTCAAATGAGTTGACAATTCCCTCAGCTACCGCCTCAGATCACTTGGTCTCGTCCTTGTCTTCCCTGGAGTTGAGTCTTACAAACTTTACGCCAAAATTTGACGTGGAGGTCGTGGAATAAAGCCGAAATATATTTTCTCAGGGTAGAGACTCTATAGCTAATGGCATCGTGTTGGAATTTTGGTTGGACGAGGCTCCTTATGGGTTTTGACGCTACATCGTATAAATCCGTATGTCATTGATTTATTTGAATGAGATATTATATTATGAGTCACTGTCCAAATGGAGGTTCTCAGAACCGCCGACATGCTGGATTCACGAAAGATATAGGTAGCAGCGGCGTTTGGCAAGCGTTGCCCCGTTCTTTTATCAGGATCAAGTTATACATCAAATATCTAGAAGCCTTGGAGTCGTATCTGAAATCATCAAAGGATTACAGCTTGAGATAACCAGTAAAGACAATAAAGGTCATAGCTGGGGAAAGTCGAATAACAGACTGCTTGTCCTACAGTTGAGGGGTTTTCTCTGGTAGGCAGGAATACGCTCGGATCATTCCAGCTATTTGCGATCGTTGCCTGTTTTGTAGAACTCTCAAGTGGAGTGGTGACAAAGATTGACCGTGGCTGATACTCGAGTGTGAAGCGTTCTCGACGGAGACCGTCTGCGATCCCCACGGCTCTTCGAAACTAATGCCTGTATCCGGACAGGCAGAAAGCGTAGACACACCCCAAAATGCTATATTTCGATTGAAAGAGCTCCTCCAGAAGATGGTCAAATAGAGCACTCGATCGGGCACAACCGTCGTCGATCAATGTTGATTCAGTGATTTAGAGATGGGCCAAGAGGCAAGTAAATTTCAAATTAAAAGTTAGTTCCGAATAACGAGCACAATTTAATTGTATTTTCCTCAGTTTATCAAAGTATGTCCCCGGGCGGGGTCAGAAAAGGAGACAGAAGTTGTCAAAACTTCATTCGCTCCTCGGAGGACATATGACTACTTCTGGGAACTGTTCTGGAGGGCCCAGGAGCAGCAAAGCTCCTCTGGACAACTTACATATTTCTCTACCTCGTGAAGTCCTCTGTAACCTTATGTATATTCCTAAATTCGATAGAAGGGACACTCAGGGTGTTCCAGAGACGTTTCAGTCGAAAGAGATTTCGTCCATACTTAAAAGAATTCTAATCCTGGTGGCACTTTCGTCGATTCTGGGATGGCCCATGCCGGCCTTCAGGAACTTTACCTTTAGTTCCAGGAGTAATACTGTTCCTAGGATAGGGGTTTCATGTTCCCAGAGGCGTATGTTACATTCCTAGGAGGCTAAACCCGTTCTTGGGGTAATCTTGCCCTTTCTGAGACAGAAATTCTTTTAAGGGAACCTGATAAATATTCACACTAAACCCGGCTTTGAACCTAGAGGAGTATTGATAGGGTGTGTACATAGAAGCCATCAAACAAGAATAACCCTAGCAATATGTAGCATGGTCTTTGGCAGGCGCTTTTGATCGCATGCGTGTACCGAAATAGGGAAAACGGTCATGGATGGCGTAGTTAAAGCCCAAAGGTTTACAGCGGCCGTCCACCCAATTTCATCGTCAGATGACCGCTTCACAAATCACTCAAATTATAGGAATCTCACTAGGAAGGTCGGTCGGAGATTGCGGTTTACCGACAGAAGACTTCTTTCTTTTCTTCTTTTTGCCACCCGTAACCTTCCCCACACTCGGAGCGATCAAAGGTTCTTCTGGCTGCGCAGGGTGCTCCGGGGTACACTCAGTTCTTGCAGACGATGGAAAGAGTGCCGGGCTAGGAGGGCAGGACTTTTCATCGTCAGTCTCAGAATCAATCGCGACATTTTGACCAAGCTGCTCAATCGAGCTCAACGAACTAGGAGATAATTGAATCTGAACTTGTTCCAAGGTCGTCTCCAATTCAATGCTCTGCCCTGGTAAACTTAGTCAGTAGACGTGTGAACAAAGGAGAAATTCTCTTACCGGGACCCCGAATACCAACGAACTGCCTGCAAGTATCCGAACCTTTTTGGAGGATCCACAATTTCTTGCTCAGCTGTTCTCGAAGGCTTTGGCTTGCCTCGGACTCCCCTGCTATCTGCGTGATCAAGTCTTTTGGCATATCATAGGCGATGGTAGGGGTAAATAAAGTAGATAGTGCACTGAGCAGCTTCACTTCTATAACTTCGGTCGCAATATCGTCAATGAATCGCTTCAGTGCCACCTATGTTTTACGTCACAAGAGTTAATGAAATGTTCGAAACATAAGAAGCCAGTGAAAGTTACTTTATAGTAAGCAAGCGTACAATCCAGCGCCTCTTCAGATGCAAACCTTGTCATGTCCGGTACCGTGTTCTGAACAAGACAGTTCAGGAGGCCCTGGAGATTGATCGAATGCAATACAGGTTCGGGAGTCGATAGAGTATCAACGCCAAAGTAAGATTGAAGGGCTGTACGTAATGTCTCTTTCTGACGCGTGCCACGAGTCTTTTGGAGTGTTTCAGTGAAGTAGTGATTGTAAGTGATGGGATGACCTCGCTGATGCGGCGCTAGGAGCTCTTTGGTTACCTTCTCCATATCATGCCGTAAAGTTCCTAGGGCTGACAGTATGACCTTGTTAAACAAGGCCTTTGAAGTAGCTTCATCTGCCACATAGGACACTGCGTGTTGAAGGAAGTCTTGTGCAGCCGAATGGGCTGCAGTGATATGGTCACTCGTGATCTCTTCCCAAGGACTGCATTGCTCTTGAAAGAGATCCTCAACAATCATAGGGTTAAAAGTTCCCGGTAGCTCACGGCCCCTTGTTCGTCTAAGAAGCGTTTCAATATGTTCAAGGTATTTGTCTCTTGTGAGACGTATTTGACGTTTAGAGCTCGATTTTTGATCTGTAGTTTCGAGGATATGACGGAAATGCCCGCGCTGTGAAATCTTCTGTGCAAATTGCTCGTTCAAATTTTGAATGACCGCTCGGATGCGCTTCTGGTACCCAGACATGGTCTTCGCATCCCCGAAGAAGAGCTCGTTGTAAGTACCGTTCACAGCCGCTTTAACAACACTTTGAAATGCTTGGCTGATTTGTAACAGGTATGATCGTTGTTCATCCACAGTCGCGCGAGGGTCGCCAAGTTTCTGCAATTGCGACCGACAGGAATCAATTTTGGAATTTATCTCGTCGATCAAGCTTGGGAGTTCACTTGCAATCTGACCAAGTAGCAGACTGCTCATTCGGGTCCGTAATGAATCCACACCCACAAGTGATTGAGGCAGATCTGCCCAGATTCCCTGAGAGAAAAATTCCGCTTCTTGGATGTTGCGATCAGACAAATTCCAGTGACCTTTCTCCGAGTCCATATTTTTCAATACATGCCATCCTAGCCGGAACTCGACTTCTTGGTTCCTAGCAAGAGACAAAAATGAGGCTTCACTCTCTGACCCTGGGACCAGCATGTCGGGCTTCGAGATGACGCCTAAGGTTCGGTTGCCAGATGCGTCAGCGTCCCGTGCGAGACGCAGGACAATCTGATTCGCAAAATCATTCTTGGCGGAAACAACCGCAAGAATGACACTGCGGGGCTCTTTCATGTATGACTGAACCACGTCTTGGACTAGTTGTACATCCGCCGCTGACTGCTGTCGAGTTTCTGAGTGGATTAGTCCTGGAAGATCCACTATCGTGAGATGTGGGCGATCAGGACCCGAGACTTCAACCCGCAAAAGGTCATTGGAAAATGCTTTCCCGTGGATTGATATACCCATTGCTGTCTTTGCCTTCTCTATCAAATCTGCAAGGCCGTCGAATCCATCAAGCTGCTCGCAAAAGCTACCCAAAGATTGCTGCTCTGCCTCACTTCGAGATTGGTGGGGGACAATGGAAACTCGGACTCCGACTTGAGAATTTTTGCGGAGGACTAGCTCAGTTGGAAACCTAGTGCACAGATTGCTTTTGACTGGAAAAGAAACTCCTGAGATGGCCTCGAGGACGGAGCTCTTTCCTGAAGACTGGTCTCCACAAACAATGATTTGAGGAAGAGAGACGTAGTGGCTAATGCCTTGCGATCGAAGAGTGTCGATGGAATCCAGAAGATGCAGTTGCTCTTGAGTACATAACTCTTCAAGACCCTCTGTTGTGAAGTTTTTCAAAGTCATAATGCCTGTAAATAATGGAAAAAAGTAAGGATTTGTCTACGGAGAACTAGTCAATATGCCGTACTTATAAGCGTGTAATCTACATTTATGTTAAAGTCTCTCATGCACCCTGACCAAGTGAATATTCTTGAGAGTGGAAATTTCCCGCCCCTCGATACCTCAAACTCAGGGTTACAGTGATTGTTGGCGCCACATACTGCACCGGTCCGCCACAAAAACTCAAACGCCTTATCCTTACCTCAAGATAATTAATCTTTCTCAGCACTTTGATAAATACCTTCATAATAACTGAAGGTGATCGGATAATGACTGCATGTGGATTACACCAACAGGATTTACCAAATCATTCCGGCCCAGTTCTTATGTTATGCTTCTTTCAAGTGTTGCTTCTTGCTAGCCGAGTCGCAGGTCAGTAGCAGTGTCCTTCCAATTTGCTAGTTCAATAATGGCTCCGATTCAGTCGCGACGTATTCTTGTGTCGGAATAAACCAGCGGTAAGTAGTAAGTAAATAATCTACCCCCTTACTTGGTGTACACATTCTTGAGCTAGGAGGTGCATTCGCTGTCAAGTTGTATGGAAGCAAATACCACAATGCAATTGCCCAATGCGTGGGTTGCCGAAATTTTGGTCACCCATCGGTTACTGACAGTGTCCCCTCTCACATAACGCAGCCTCACAGTGTTCTAATAGATATGCCACCGGGCATAGACCTGTGCACAAAAGTCCATTAGAGCCTGAATCTCGCCATGCTATTTTTGACAGCTCGAGAATGTGCGCCTTTCGCCTACGATCACTTCGATAGTGGTAGGTGTATTATTTGTCTTTCGCTGCGCAATTTGCATATGGAATCTCGCCGGAGCACTGATTGGTCTACTAGCAATGTCACGCAATAGCAAACCATGGTAGACGGAGATCAGAAGTTCTGACTTTTGTCTTTCTTTTCGTTGCATATTGGACGATTGATTCTCGGAAGTACAACTTCTCGAATCTTGGGATTGCCCTTTGGTAGGAGCATGCATGGGGAGGTTATTTGCCTGCAGCATCGTTGGAATAGATAGAATATAAGAATAAGGCTAGCGGACGATTTAGGAGAAACAAATGGATGAAAGGATTAGGGAATCAAAGCTGAGGGCGGGATCCGTTGGGTATTTAGTCTTCCCTAGCGTCATTCTCTTTGTTTGCAGGGCATCGAATTACTTCCCCTGCTTGTTTGCTAAATTAATACTGAGACGGGGCTTTGGACGGGAAAGAACCAATTAGAAACACCCTTCTCTTATGTTCCTCTTGCAGCCACACGCCTCTCCACTTTGGACTCAAGCCAGTTCGGCTCAGTGGAAAGGAGACTGCATGTTTGAATAGACGGTAACGAGCGGGTACCCATCAGCTAGTGAGAGGTTTACGGCTGCTTGCTTGTTCGTCAGACTCCATAGTCGTTCCATTTCAAATCCTGACCTGCTTCTCCCCCCGGCAACCTTTCCCTACGAGTAATTTCAAGAGCGATACCAAGGATAGAACCCCGTACAGAAGTCTGAACCGTAAGAGCGCTCGATATATTTCCATCCTTGCCTTTCCCGAAATGCACGTGAAATACCGTATTGTCCTCGCTGTCGCGACCCTGCCTTTCATTCCCCATTACCAATTACCGACCGTTTGGTCTGGCCCTTGGCCCTTTCTGGGAAAACAAAACACAGGCACTCACCGCTGTGCTGCATCCTGCGTCGATATTGTTTCCAACCATCGAAACACTCCTATCCCCGATCACCCTCCTAATCTTGATCAACACGTAGTTCTTTGTGCCTTCAGATTAATTCCCTCCTCGTTCGTCGTTTCAAATTTTCTATTTACTTCAAGTCTCCCTCCACGGTAGACACCGACTTAGGAGGACCACCAAAAATAATTCTCAACAAAAATTCGAGGACGCAGTCATTGACTTTGGGGATACGCATGAACCATGGAAATTGAAATCGAATTTCCTCTACACCGAAGGAAACTGCGGCGAGAAAGATCAGTTGTTCGCAAAATAACTAAATTGACAGAAATAGGCTTACAGGTGGAGACTTGGTAGGGCTTGCGTACCAGATTGTGGATCATTTTTCCAAACTTTTTTTGGTTTTGAGTGAGTTCTGGAGGAATAGGGGGTGTTTGTTGAGGCATAGTCGTTCCTCGATTCTCTTCCGCAAGTAAAAGGGGGTAATTTGCAGCCATGGCCGGGTTCGGTGAAGAGAATGTTGACTGGTGCACAGCAAATAGATTCGTGAGACTCTCTTTTGAGAGGGCGAGGAAGAAGGAGAGGAATCGGGGTTCGTATTCCTTCAAATAGCGGCGACACGCACGTGATCCAATGTGGTAGCTTGTGAGCGAATCAGGTGATATTGATACAGTAGACAATCAAATTGAGATGGAAATACAAGGTACAATGTACTCCGGTATACGATTAGTGTTCTGTCATAGATTACCTTGGCTTCCCAGGATCCAGGTATGGGATGGAAGGATGGCAGTGCAAATACTGTACTAATGAACGGTTACTTTAGGAGTTTACGCTGCTGTAATAAACAATGGTCCACAACTGTACCAAGTGGTTTAATATATAGGATATAGAAATATATAGGATATAGAAGAGGACATAACGAAATGTGACTCTTTAATCGCTACGTAAGTGTATCCTAACCCTACTAGGCAGCCGAGTAGCTGCACTGCTTGGAAACTAACGGTTGCAGGCATCGGCATTACAAATAATCCGGCGGTGGATGGCGCTTCTAGGATTCAATAACAAGCCGATATGGCCTGAACGCTACTACGTCACGTGTCGGTCTGGATGCTCAAAACAAGTCATTAATGCACCGTTTGTCTCTTCATTTTGAGAAATCTATGGTGCTCGTTAAAGCAAACTTCTCCGAAGATTGGATGCCAGCGAATCTGCCGAGCTCTTTGAGTGGGTTAGCCAATCCGACCGTGAGCTGTAACCGGAGTGGGTCTCCATGGCTATTTCTTTGTTTGCTACAAGGGTGCAGTACTTTGTTGAGCAAACAAAGAGAATTTCTGGTAAAGGTGAAAAAATGAAGAGATTGTTCATCGTTGTTACCCCTGATTTCTTGAGACCTTCACTGATTCTCCTTAACAAATTTCCCTCAGACCCAGCCCCCTCGCAATCTTCACATGGCTTTTATTTGAGGTCTTCAGGTCGATCCACAATGCCGAAGGAAAAGAGATTGCGTACGCTTTTACCAGCGGAAGAAAAGCATACAACACAGCCCTTGGAAGCAGGCACGGTGAAAGAGATTCGACGCAACATTTCTATTGCTTGCACAGAGTGTCAGAGAAAGAAGACCATGGTCAAACTCCCAAAAGCCCTCTCCCAAGCTTGACAGTGGGACTAACATCACGTCCTTGGAGTAGTGCTCCGGAACGGCGCCGTGCACAAGATGTGCAACAAAAGGTCAGTTGTTTCTATACGATCAAACTGGCGATCGCCGACGCAAAGAGTATACGGCGGGGCTGCTGAAATTTCATACTACTCTTTGTTGGCTAGTTGCCACGCTGCGCTCCGGAGGTCCCCAGGAGATATCATGGTTGGTTTCGCAGTTGCAAATCTTGCCAACAGATCAGGATGCAGTTGATTATGTTGTTCAAATGCTGAATGGATATGATCGGATGGGTTAGTACAATGGCGAACGAAGCCGAAGGCAATTTCTGTTGAATAGAAAGCAGTAGCGCGACCATCAAGCCTAGCCAGGGTCTTATTGGTTGGTTTACTTCATATTTTGGGCTGAAACAGGCTAGTTTTGTTCTAGAATTTCGAGTTCAATGGCCCTTTAATAAAATCGATTTCCAACATTCGTGCTGTACTCAAAAAATAATTGATGACTATTCTGGTCTCCATTCAAAGTATTACCTGCATATTAAGATGTGCAACGGCAGCATTGTGGACCAGTAGACAGCTGGTCAACGTAGCACGAATTTGCTCGATAGATTTCAATGGCCACAGGAATATAATCGCAGACCTTAGCAGTGGCCGCCGCGGCTATATTCCCTGAGCAAAGGCAACTACTTTCCAAGATGTCCGATACAATACTTCACTTGTGCCATCATATTGGATAAATTCTGCTTGACTTCTGCTACTGGTAAGAAACAACAGTAACTTGCCTGGGCATTGCAGGATCAGGTTTCTTCGCCAGTAACTTAGGGGAGCCGATCCCCATTCGACGAACTCTAAATCCTTACAGTTGATTATATCGCTACCAGGTGGAGTTATCTGTAGCCAAATTCAAGGAGAGTCATTGAAAGAGGGATTGTGGGAAAGCTTTTGTGTCTGTGAAAGAGTAATCTGTATCGATAATGTCTAACAGGACACCTCCGAGCTCAGCCAAGGAATCCACCGAAACTACACAAGCAACAAGGTGGACTGCCCTAGCCTGTTTGAATACTTGTGACATTACCATCGTTTAATATTTAGGTCGACAACAATTTTTGCGGATAGCACAGTAAGACTTTCCACTTTTTCAAAAAATTCCCATCAAGGACCAGAGAGCGATGTACGCCATGGCGAGAACGACACAGATCACATGTAGCCACGTCACCGGGTGAACACAGTTTCAAAAGACGGCAACTCATGCAACAAGATGGCTCAATTGTTGAATGCTTTAAATCTAGCAATTCGCCGTAGAACTTGAAAAGCTCCAGTTCGAAAGGGTCGTGGTTGGCGCAGTTGGCGCAACTGAGACCTGGGAGGACATTGTGTCAAATGAAGTCGGCTGGGGACTTTTGCTTGGTATCGCGGTCCATGAACTGCTTTCAGCAGTACATATGCTACCCTTTAGTAGAGCTTTGTCAATTTTGCAGCTCACTGCGTCTCCTTGGTCATTATGAAAGTAGAGCAGACCACTTCGGTACACCTCTACCCAGGCGAAATGTCTACTAGAGATACATAAATTGGCTTTGACTGTATCGGACTCGGATTTGGTGTCGTTCCGCGCTGTAATAAGATCTGGAAGACATTAATACTAGCTCTTCATCAACAATCGTCGTCTTACCAGAGCAAGAAGTGCCATTAAGAGTGGCAAATGGCTCTGAAATCCCAGTACAATCGAAGTTTCCCGTAGAATACACGAAGCATTGCCCCTCGTGGTCCATTATCTGAAGTGTGCCGGCAAGAACCACCGAGATGGAGGTAAAAGTGCTAGTAAAAGGTGCATGTCTGATTCACCCTGGGAGATATAATACCTGTCTGGTAGGAGAAAGTATTCTATCTTGCGAGAGTCGCTAGGTCTCTTGTACTTGCATTTATAGTTTCACTTAACTATTCGGAATCTACTGAACTCGACAAATCTTTTTGCTGTCATCAAGTTTTTGGTTTGCTCTAGACCCTAGAAATATATTTGAGGAACGAATGCGATACAGGTTGATGAGTTGCCTTCTTCCTGGTCTACTATGCATTCCGTTTCTCTCTGCCTTCGCTGTATACAATCGCTTGTTTCGGTGATATCCAAATCGATGGTCCTGGGCTGTGTGCGCGAGGTCTCACCCACGAAGAAGATAGCCTTAAAATCAATGCGGCTTTCCATTCTCACCGTCCATCCCCTTCGTTTCCATTCAAATTCCAGTATAAATGAAAATAGAATGGCTTCTTAGAATCATGATCGACTCGCATTCAAGGACCTAGTTGAAGATTGTGATGATTCTGATGCTTTCCCCCTACAATAACCGCTGTCCACACATAGATCTATCCCTGAGACTATGTCGAGGAGTCAGCAGTCGCCCTTTTCGTGTCATTGATGTCAAATTCACGGCCATTCATCTCGGCAATAATAAAGGCCATAAGCTCTGTTCCGCTGACGTCAATAAAAAGCATAAGTTGCCGCTTCAACGTAGAGCAAAAGTTGTATATTGCAGCTAGTGAAGGTTCTCTGAACATTTGATTGTGCATATCACGGATGGACCAGGACCTCTTAGTATGTCCCGTTAGCGTTGAATACCATCAGCAGGCAAAAAGGGCTCAACAAGCCAATAACATCGGGTGTTGAAGTAGGTTTAAACTATAAACTAGTCTCTTCTGTTCTAAGACATGTATCGACATCGCCAGAATCTACCTAGTTTCTGATCTACTTGGACAATTTTCCATCGCAACAATCGTAACCTCCCCATATTGATCATTCGCCGATGAAAGCAGTGGTAGGGAATCGATAATCTATTCCAGTACATATTAATGTCCTGCCCATTTTTGAATCTATTCAACTTACCCGTCCAGGTTTCAATCTCATTCATGGCTTGAGCATAGGCTCCGTAAACGCTAGCTCTTCTTTTGCTGATCACCTCGAAACTGAATTCGCCTCTTATTATTTGTCGACGGAATGCCTTGACATTCATCATCGCTTGAGATAGGATGTACTTTCGGTATTGCAGATCCCGAGGCGATGTGACCAAATGACGTGATTTCAGAAATGCTCGATCAATACGAAATGCTTCTCGAAAGTTTCGGAAGAATGACCAAGAGTCTCTCATCTCCCAGAAGCGTTCAGCACTCTGCCAGTCTGCATTTTCTTAAACCCGATCCACTGCTGCCAGACTGGATAAAAAGACGTACCATGTTTATTGTACTGTGGAGGCTCTGCGGAGTATGTTTGATACAGCTTAGAATAGGCCGCCATCTCTGAATTGGAGGGATAATGTTGCATGATGTAAGGAAGCGCCGGCAATCATCTGGTTGGTTTATATATTAGACAACTTTTGATCTCATATTTGTCCATACGTTTGTCTTAAATATCGCATTTATCTTATAAACAAATGCGTAGCTCCAGTAAACCTAGGTGCCCAGTAAACGTCGTATGCCATTCTCGGTGGAGGGGTGATCTGATTCAACGCCTCAGAGAAATACTGTCAGGAAGCTCCAAATAGTGACCAGGGAAATAATTCAACCTGCCCCGTCAAAGATGTCTCTCACGTAGGATTTTGGCTGGGCTGTTTCCAGAAAGAAAACAACGCACATATGGCATCCTCCATGGGAAAGATTCAAACTGGCTCCTGTGAGATATCCTATGGTGAGCGAACTCTGGGTTTGGTGACCTTTAGAATGATATTGGTCCCTTTATTGCATACAAAACGATGCAATAAAGGGATTGAGAAAGGAAACGAGAAAAGTGAGGATGATGAAAGCCGTAAAAACCTTTGGCAGGCTTGAACAGCTAACCTCAGCAGTTTTTTTGTGAATATAGCGTAGAGGCGACCGCTGTTTACAAATATTACAGGGCCGAGAAAGTAAACACTCACCACCAACAAGGTTGAATGATGTCATTCTTCGGGCTCTATCCCCAGGGTGTTCATATATCTACGTGATTTAGAGATGGGTTAATGAGGAAATCAATTTTCAAATTACTTCCGAATAAAAGCATGTTTCAACTGTATTTTCCTCGTTTTATCAAAAAGGTCTCGGGCGCCGTCTTAAAAGGGGAGTAGGGGACAGAAGCTTGGAAAACACGGAGCCGCAGATTTTCCTTCATTCGCTCCTCAGAGCACATTTGACTACCTCTGGGAACTGTTCTGGAGGACCCTGAAGCAACAAAGCCCCTTGGGTCGGCATATATGTTTCTCTACCTCCTAGAAGTGCTCTGCAAACTTATGTATATCCCTGAAATCAATCAGAGGGACACTCGGGCGTTCAAGAGACGTTTCAGTCGACCCAGAGACCAGCCGTTGTCCTCTAAGAACCGCGTGAGGGTTAGGAGCAGCAAGTTCCTACGTTCCTTGACTAGATGGGGCTGTGACATGGATGAAGTAAATCGCCACATGAAACTGCCGTAGAGATTTTTCATCCATACTTGAAAGAATTCTGATCCTGGTGGCACTTTCGTCGATTCTTGCCAATGGCGGCCCCTAGGAACCTTGCCGTTAGTTCCAGGAACAATACTGTTCCCCAAATAGGGGTTTCATGTTCCCAGGAGCGTATGTCACATTCATAGGAAGCTAAAAACCCACTCTAGGAAGAATCTTGCCTATTCTGGGACGGAAAGCTTTCAAGGAACCAGATAAATATTCACAGTAAACCCGGTTTTGAACCTAGACGAGCATTGACAGGGTATGTACATAGAAGCCATCAAATAATAACAACCCTAGCAAAATGTAATACGGTTTTTGGCACGCGCTTTTGATCGCGTGCGTGTACGAGAATAGGAATAACGAAGCACTTTGGAGAGTTGAATAGGCGCGATGCGTATTTCCATCATACCCGAGATCCCGATATAGTTTCGAGTAATGTTGTCTACGAGAAACTTAACCGCGAGGTTAGGGCTATCCGCTCCGGGAAGACGATCCAGATGCGCATCAGTGATCTTACCGTTGGTGATGTCGTGTGTCTAAAACCCTTAAACCGAGTGGCCATGTTGTGATACAAGTGACGCTTCAATGATTGCATAGTAGATGGGAGTCGATAGTGTTGTCTATGTTGTGCTAGATACAAAGAGGCTCGTAGCCAGCTGGATATATATACATGCACGTGCTCTCTATCTCAGGGACTGGGATAACTAACAGGCCACGTCAGCGCTTCAGGGGGCGATCGGGTGAAGAATAGAGCGCCTTCAGTGCGCTCAGGTTTAGGGGCCTGAAGGGGCTGACCAGTAAAGCAGCAAGGGCAAATGTCCCAACGAATGACAAAAAACGAGTGAACACGGACATACAACAGCCAGGATTCGCATGTGGTCACCCACCATACTACTAATGGGCCGGCGTGTGGCTTATCTGCGGCAGATAGTCGGGTGGGTGCCGCCCGGGTGAGTTTAGGGTGAGCGCCGCTTTAATGTCGCGCGACCAGGGTG